AGCAATAGCCTTCATCCTTTTGTATATTTATACAAAGTCAGCTTATTGCCCCCACAAACCGGGTCCTCAATTTACCTACCTTAGAAAGGATGGAAGGCTGAGTCGACCTTGAGCCTGGTGAGATTCGAACTCACAGTAATTGCAGGTAGCTGGATGTTAAATGCTGCCTTAGTAAGAGGCATTACCTTATCTTATCCATACACCTTAACTTATTAGCTTTAACTTATCCATACAGCCTGACTAGGTTGACTATCTTAGCTTAGACGCTGAGCTTGTCTATCAGAAAGGTGGGCAGTTTGGCGGTTCGATCCCTAGTACAGGTCTCTGGCGTGGGCAGGGGGTTGGACGAGCTGACCTCCAAGGTCCCTTCCAACTTACTGTTAAATTTCTGCACATTCCAGAATTTTTTTGATTATAATGTCATCTGTAGGGGTTAAGCGGCCAATGGTCTTAAATCGGCACTTGGGAGCCCTCGCTTTAGACCTATTTGGCCACGCGAGTCCAGATGTCCAGACTAAGAATGCACGCCTGCTTAGTTCACCCATGCCTTGGTGGCGCAGCGGACTAAAGTGCTGTTAAGTAGCACTTAGCTGCCAGCTGCCTGCAATTACTGTGAGTTCAAATCTCGCCAGGCTCAAGGTTGACTCAGCCTTCCATCCTTTCGAGGTAGGTCAAATGAGGACCCGGATTGTGGGGGCAATAAGCTGACTTTGTATAAAAAAGAACACCGCTTGGGGGGCCCCCGAAAACCCTACTAAGCAGGTATATACAAAAGTATGAAGGTTATTGCTTAACGCATTGTAAGCCGCCCTGAGTCTCCAGAGAAGGGTGGCATATAAATCGAACCAATAAACAATAAATGCCTTGGGGTGTGTTGTTGCCTCTGGTCAACTGACAAGCATTCCTTTGCAAATCGGGGTCTGTGGGCAAGGCCTTTTGTGGGGTGGGGGGAAGGGGCGTCTTTCTAATGAAGAAACAGTTTGATTTGGGCCCACCTCTCTGGAAACCAGATTTAACAGATTAACAAGAGTTGGAAGGGACCTCTGCAGGTCATCTAGTCCAGCCTCCTGCCCAAGCAGGAGACCCTACCTCCGCCTCTACCTAGGATCGAACTCGCAACCTCCTGATTGTGAGGCAAGAGCTCCACCTTGCTTCTAACAGCCCGGCTCATCCACCCCTTGCAATCGGCTACTTTCAAAGCTTTAAATCAGGGGTGTCCAACCTTGGGGAAATTTTTTTTTTATGACTTGTGGACTTCGACTCCCAGAATTCCCCCAGCCAGCCAGCCAGCAAGAATTCTGGGAGTTGAAGTCCACAGGTTCTTAAAAAGCTGCCAAGGTTGGACATCCCTGGTTTAAATGGAGATTGTGGTGCTCTCTGCAAAATCATCTCGTTTAAGTTTTGGGCTGCCTCGATACCAGGGCACAAAGCACCCTGGTAAGGGGCTTTTTGGCCGGTGGAGGAGTCACAAATCACTATATTTAAGAGTCGGTGGTCTAAAGAACTAAGGAGAAACTTCCTGACAGTTGGAACAATTAATCCGTGGAACAACTTGCCACCAGAAGTTGTGAATGCTCCAACACTGAAAATTTTTAAGAAGATGTTGGATAACCATTTGTCTGAAGTGGTGTAGGGTTTCCTGCCTAAGCAGGGGGTTGGACTAGAAGACCTCCAAGGTCCCTTCCGACTTTGTTAATTCTGTTCAGTCCAAAGATGCCACAGTCCTCCTTTGATAGACTCTTACAGAGGAAGACTTATTTATATTTATTCCTGTTTTATCACTTGTGCAGAGGACAATTTTTATGCGATTCTCCCAACTCTTTCCTCCATACCTAGCTGAGTTTCTGGGATTTTGTTTTGTTTTGTTTTTTTAAATCTGCAGGTGGCAGATAAAAGAAAGGACTTTTCCACTTCTTGTTCAGAATTAAGGTGCATCGCTCAGCAATCTCCTTGGTGGCGCAGCAGACTAAAGCGCTGTTAAGTAACACCAGCTGCCTGCAATTACTGCAAGTTTGAATCTCACCAGGCTCAAGGTTGACTCAGCCTTCCATCCTTTCGAGGTAGGTAAAATGAGGACCCGGATTGTGGGGGCAATAAAACTGACTTTGTATAAAAAAGAAGAACACCGCTTGGGGGGGGGCCCGAAAGCCCTACTAAGCAGGTATATACAAAAGTATGAAGGCTATTGCTTAATGCATTGTAAGCCGCCCTGAGTCTCCGGAAAAGGGCAGCATATAAATCGAATCAATCAATCAATCAATCAATCAATCAATCAATAAATAAATCTCACCCACTAATTTTTATTTTTTTTAATTTTTCTCCTAAAAGATCTGAACTGTTTTCTGTTTGACTTTAGAGACCTGGGTAATTAAACAACAACTGCACAGACAAGACGAAAGTGCCAAAAAAAGAAGAAAAAAAAAATTAAGACGACAACATTCAAGCTAAATAACCCTGCAATCTTTACTGCAGTAAGAACTCATTTAAAAACCATCCATTT